TCAGCAGCTGTTGTGAAAAAGTTAACATCACATTAGAATTGAGATTTCAAGTAACCCCTGCTTGAGATGATCCTGCTGTAAGCAAGGGTTGGTCTAGGTAACTGCTCAAGGTCCCATTCAATGCTACTTTTTTTCCCCCAAAAAAACCCAAGAAACTTTGGAAAACTATTACCTTTCTGTGCCTTGGCTGTTATTTCAAAGTACTTGACAGTAAGATCTTGAATAGAAAGCACAGCCATGTGGGCTTTCCGCTGCCAATCTGCATCTTCTTTCTGTAGACTCTCAATTCTTCTGGGGCCCAGGTAATCATTTTCTATGGAGATCTGAAAATAAAATAGGTCCATAATTGAAAACACAGTATTAGAGTTCTCCCTGTTTTGCAAGTGGCAGGCAGTTACAGTCAAATTGAGTGGCTTAAAAAAAATAAACAAAAAACAAAACAAACCCCTTCCCCCATTATTCTATTAAAAAGAAAAGATGTGTATTTATGTTAAAAAAAAAACCACATCCATGGCCTCATTAACTTTTATATCATAAGCATAATAAACTCAACAAGAAAATAACCTAAGGCTATATTAGCAACAATTCATAATAGATAACATTTCCACCATCAAAGTTTATATTCTGAAATCAGTGGGAATTGTGCTCTGAAATCACTTAGGCACAGCTGGCAGCAGTCAATACAACCCTCTTAAGCTTCTCTCTTTTAAAAAATATGTCCTGTATATTAAAAGTTGATAATAATGTTGCTTGTGTATTTGGAGTCTAAATCACTTCAAATTGCTTATACTAAAGAAAGTTTGTTTTCAAGTGATAAGTGTTATGCCACTTCAAGTTTTACTAAAATAGTTTTAGCCCCAAATTCTGCAAACACTTCAGCTTGTGCTTAATTTTAAGATATAAATAACCCTATTAAAAGCAATATACATTGTTATAAACCTGATTAAGTGTTTACAAGATGAAGGCATTACTTTTCAACATTTTATTTTTTGCCTGCAACTATTTTAAATAATTCAAATAAGATAGTCTACTACCATTGATATTTAGTAAGAACCACCCCCAGCATTTACTTTTAGTCTGTTACAAAATGTTAACATCCAAAATCGAAAAATGTCAAGTTAAGTTATTATTAGACCACAACCCAATCTAAGGAGAAAATATTTTAAACCTTTTATTTTAAGCCACTGTATCCTACAATAAAATACAGATTACTTGCAGTTGGTTTGAGACTACACAGAGGCCCTCTACATTGTAGTTAAATTGCTGAAAAATATCATTGTAAGTTGGACTCAAGTGTTTTAATTAAGTAGTCACATATGGCAGAACATATTCTCAGTTATATTATGCATACTGAAATGCGATTGTCTAAAGCAGTGATTCCTAACCCCTCCCCCTTTTTTTCTTTTATATATTTATTTATTTTTTAAATGCACCCCGCTGCTGGGAGCTGAGTGCAGCAGCCTGGGGCCATTGGTAGGGGAGCTCCTGGCACGCAGCGCAGATCATCTTTCCTGTGTGGCCCTTACCCCTCATTTGGGTCGCGACCCGGGGTTGAAAACCACTGGTCTCAAGCAAAGTTCTAAAATATCCAGTTAACAACAACACTAAATGGACAGAGAAGGGTTACAGGTTTCTGGTAATATGAAGTTCGCTCAAAGAATGAATACAAAGATGTTTCTTTGAATTTTGAACCACAAGAGCTCCATAGAAAAAACCCATGAAAAGATTTAAAAAAAGGAAGGGTCTCAATGTAAAGGCAGAAAACCATTCACACCTCTGCTGAGGGGAACATGCTCGTGTTTCAATTAACTGGGAATGATGATACAAGTTCCTTTGAGAAACAGGTTCTAAATGGCTGAAATTAACAGTCTCTTCAGTCTGTTGGTAGGTAGACAAAGTAACAGGTTATTGGGAGGGCAGGTGGGTAAGTAATCTGAATAATGCTTTCAAGGCTTATTTGTCCTATTTGCTACTGGTTCTAACTGTAATAGAAAGACTCAGCATCAGTAACTTTTCTTCAGAGGTTTTGGCTGCCAAAACATTATTCACATGCCCAAGATCCCCACGATTACCTGATTAAGTATGCTCAGTTTATACATCAAGTCAGGGGTCAGCAACCAATGGCTGCAGGGCAGATGCGCCCCTGGATGCAAGGCTTTAGCTGAAGGTGCTTTCCCCATGCTGCTGCTGAGACAAGCACCATCTGTGGCTGGGTCTTAATGCCCACCCTCCCTGCCCGCCTCTGCCTTAACTAGGTCACTCCAGCCCACGTGCTAAAAAGGTTGCTGATGTGGCCCTGCCCCTTGTCACCAATTGGTGGAGAGGGGCAGGGCCACATAACAGGCAGCACTCACAGTCAGTCAGTGGCAAGGGATGGGAGCAGCAGCCATCTTGCTGGCAGCCCTTTGAGTGGGCAGCCCTCCCCTCACTTCCCAGCAGGCTGCTGCAGTGTCCTGAGGACTGGTGGCTCCCTGTATGGAGCCAGCATTTTCTTTTCAGTAAGTTCCCCTCTGCCCCACGGACTTCGTAAGCATGGTCCAATTTCACAGGCAATATCAGATTTCACAAAATCATAATTTTGTAGGTCCCCACCTACATCCCTGAGGCAACACATATTATCCATATAGCAAGTAAAATATATTAACTGAGGCACACAGTACAATTAACTGATTCGCCAAAATGCCAGAGGAAAATTTTGGATGCTCCAGAAATTGAACTCTTATTTCCCAGTCCAGCACACTATCCACTAGGCCAAAGGTGGCACAGGGCAAGAAGCTGGAAGAAAAGCAGCAACTTGGTCAGGGAGCACAAGGCAGAGAAAAGAAAGCTGAGCAGCAGATTGGGTAAGGGAAAGGTACTGGAGTGACACTCAGTAAGGGTGTGAGGCTAATTTGGGGCACACCTGCCAAAAGTGTTGCTCCCTACTTCACTAGACCAGTGATTCCCAACAACCAGGAAGCCAAAGCACCCTGTGGTGGCATGAGCTCCTTTTAAGAGTGCCATGGAGTGCCACACAATGTTAGTACTGTTAGGTTTGCAAGCACTTATACAGTACACAAGATAAACTCAGAGATTTCCAACAGGAATCCGTAGCACCAAAAATATTCTGAGCTGCTGTGATCTCTCCAAATTCTTTACAACAGTATTATTTTTGTATAGTCAAGAAACAAGTAAATTGAAGAGCTGGCATTTTCGGAGGGGTACAGAGGGGTGCCTTAGTCTAAAAAAGTTGAATACCAGTACATTAAACCACCTCTCTCCCTGCTATTACAATAGTAGTTAAGGTTAGTAGGCCAATACTTGTGTACAGGCAACTCCCACTTAGCACTCTTAATTGGTTCCCGAAAAAACAAGCGGCAAGCAAAACCGAACCTTTTGATGAACCACGATGGCGATCATGAGCATTATGACGAAACTCGCTGATTGCTAAGCAAAACATGGGTATCAATGTAAAATGAGCATTATAGAAAATAGCACTAAGAAAAATGGCATTAAGTGGGGGTTACCTATATTGCCATTTCATCCAATCATTTACTATTCAATTTATAATCAATTCTATTGAGGTAAGATCAAACAGAATACATTCATCCTCTTTCAACTTAGTGAGCTCTGCAGTGCCACTAGTAAAAGGTAATGCAAACTTTGTCATTAAGCAAGTATGTACATTCTGAATCCACAGATGGTAGAGGATTCATTGAGTAATAACATGCAATTTTTACATACTCTCTTTTCTGATTAGAAAGATATTTTAAATTTGTCTGTTGTGGAAAGGATCTTGAGATTTGGTTCTTACTCTATGAATTGGAGAATTATTCCCAGAGAAAAAATAAGCAAGTCATTTATACTAGAAGATTACAACTTGGGAGTGACACTTTTGCAGTGATATTGTTTGTTCTTTTTCCTTTTATGGAAGTTGCAATTTATGAGGACCACTGCTTCCTCGATCAATTTTCTCAAGTGAGTCACTGAACAGCTTGCTGCTTCTGACACCCTTATATATCAGAGAATAGCATCAACGTCCCAAACCTACAGCTACACATTCATCTCGGCTAAAATTAGTTCATCCTGGCTGCACCCTAGCCAAGCCTTACATGGGGGAAGGGAAACCCATCCCCTACCTTCTCAAACACACACACACACACACACACACACACACACACACACACAATCATCATCATGAAAAGGGCCAAGAAACCTGAAGACTTTTTTCTGCATTTGGTCTTTTCCCTCAATTACTACTTTGTTAATGGAGTAAACTTCATTAGCTAAAGCATGGTTCTTAATGCATCTCTGCATGCCATTGCTGTTCAGAATGCAGGAGTAACGTACTGTAGTTTTATTTGTTTGTTTTAAAACTGTCATATTTATGGCTAACAGCTCCTTTTGACAATTATTTTTGTCCTCGGAAGTTCTCTAGATGCTTTATAAAAACAGACTGATATTTAATACAAAAAACCTGCATTTTCACTGAGATGGCGACCCAGTGAGGGAGTACCAAAGAGCAGGAAGCACAAGAGGTACAGACAGAAGTGACAATTTCTGCTTGATCTGGCCACAAAAAGTTTATAGCTGGGACTAAGCTATAGCTTGTGTATAGTTTGTGTAGCTGCAAACAGCTTAAAAAATGGCCGACTGGGTAAAAATCTGACCCCTCGTTGCATGAGGTATCCAGCTCCCAGCCTGCTGTTTTCAGAATGGGAGGGGGGAAAGGGAGCAGAAGGAGTTCAGTCTGGGGGAGGTATACTGCATCTTCCCCAAGGGTGGGGTGGGTATATTCCAGTAACCTATCACGTGCCAGAGAATGCGTGGCATGTGTGTTCCCTGGGAACAACTAGCAGCGACACAAGGTGTGCTTCCACTAGTTGTTGCTGAGGAACCAAATGTCCACGCTCATCTGGACACAGCCACTAAGTCCAAATTTTGCCCTCAATGCTTTATGTAAGAGCAACTTCCTACAGTAAAGGTTAGCCATACTAACTAATGTGGGGAAGTATAAAACTTCACACCTGGCAGTCTCAGTTATAAATTTGCTCCCTATCATGCTTTGACTACTAAAAGTAAAGGTTTAAAAAACAAAAATAAAACAAAAACAGAGGTTCTAATAAAAGACAGCATCTGAATGGATAAGCATGGCCTCTGATGCTAAGTGACTGGGAACGAAATGCAGTATTTCCTGCCCAAGATCTATCAGCACATCACTTCACCCACAAAGATGACCTGATTTTCTAGCATTCCATACAGAGTTAACTTAGGGAAGGGAAGCTGGGGGAGGGCAATGGGATGCAAGCCTGACACATTGTGGCAACGTGGGGATCCCTGACCT